TGCTACTGACTGAAGTGTCTTTAGGCCATTCCCTAAGGGGGAATATTAACATGTTCTAATGCTCAGTAGAATTGTAAATGGGCTGATTCATCAATGTCATGCTCAAAACTGTGCCTGAACAGACATACAGACAGACTACAGACAAATAGACAGACAGACAAACAGACAGACAGATAGACAGACGTACAAACAAACTGACAGAGAGACGACAAAGAGCTCACCATAGACCCAAGCCAGCACCACCACCTCTGTAAGGGCGAGCAGCATAAGGCAAACACTGGGAACGTAATGGTTCATCAGAGTCAGCCAGTAGAAACCGCTCTGAGGAGAACAGACAGACATGTACAAGAACAATGTCGGCGACTGTTTTAGTTAAAGTAAGTGTTTTACGGCACTTCTGACACAATTAGGTTACACTGTATAAGTGCCGAAGATTAGATAGAGGTATTACAATTAACTTACAAGAGAGAAACAAAAACAAAAAGGAGGAGAGATAAGGGCGACAGATGTTTGAGAGGAAAGTAGGAGCAGACCACGTCTGAGCACCCGCCAACCACCCACACACACCGCTTCCATAGGCCATGGGGTAGACGTTAGCCGCTCTGCCACCGCGCGCACGCACCGGAGACCTGAGTTCGATTCCTGTGTCAGTGTGTGAGTGAGGAGAGTTTCCATCGAGTAACTTGGTCTTTCTACTGGGGTGGTTTATCCCTCTCTCAGACCCGACTGGCCATGGCAGGCAGGAAGGAGGCCTAGAAAAGGGTTGTGTAGGTGGAGATAATTATAGAAAACAACTTATGACGAATATAAGAAAACGACAGGCAAGTTTCTTCGGACACACAATGCGGAAAGATGCATTGGAGAATATTGCCACAACAGGAAAATTAGAAGGAAAGAAAGGCAGAAGCAGACAGAGGGAACAGATACTGGACAAGATGACAACATGGCTGTGAGCAGCAAGAACAACAGACACCATTGCTGCAACGCAAGACAGAGTGAAGTGGAGGTCCATCATCGCCCACGCCAGTCGGCAAGGCACCGGATGATGCTGAGGTGGGGATGTAAACACGTAGGCCTATATTAAAAAAAAACAACAAACACACTAAACAAAACAAAATAAAATACGAGAAACCAAACCAAACAAGTACACCAAAGGAAGAGCTCAGTGTTATCTTCTGGAGAGCTGCAGTGCTGAGAAAATAACACTTTGTCGATTTGTCAGTTTCATAATCTTCTTCAAGAACCAGACCGGGAACAGACACCGATGATCATGGTTCCTCACCCCCCCCCCCCTCTTTTATTTCGAGCTGCTTCATCTAATACATATCATCCATGGTCACCGTTTGTGTGTGTGTGTGTGTGTGGGGGGGGGGTGTCACAATAGGATAGGTTTGCAGATATGTCTTTCAACTACAGTGAACAATGGGCTGTAGTAAGTCGTCGTCGTCGTCGTCATCATCATCATCATCATCATCATCATCATCATCATCGTCATCATCATCATCATCATCATCATCATCATCATCATCATCATCATCATCATCATTGTAGTAACCAGCTCACCTGCATGGTGTAGGGCAACCCAAGGAGGAAGAAGATGAAGCAGACCACAGCGGTGAGCAGCCTCCCTCTGCTCCGGAGTTTGTGCGGGTAGCGGTCAGTCAGGGCGGTGATCACGATTTGGACGTGCAGGAACTGGAGAGGAGCGTTTAAAATATAATATTGATGTATTTTTTTCTGGTCTATACTCAGGCAGTACGGTGTCAAAATGACTATATACAGACACTTTCAAGTCTTTGAGAAATGATTTGCAGCTATACACAGACTGTACGTGTCAAAATGACTATACACAGACATTATCAAGTAATTGAGAAATGATTTGCACCTATACACAGGCATAACGATGTCACACATAGCTATACACAGACATTATTAAATCGCTGAGATGTGTTTTACAGCTATACACAGGCAATAAGTTTTAAGTTCTACTATACATGTATACAGGTTACAAAGTTCTATCTGCTCTGTAGGCCTACCTGATTTTGAGATATTTGACACTAAAGATTTTGAGCTTCATAACATGTCAACCTTTTTCGAATAAAATTCTTTAGGTCTCAGTACCTCAAAACGGCCCCAAAATGTCAGATTGACCTTTGCACTGTACTTCTGAGGTAGCAAAGTGGTAGACTTCTTTTATAGCTGGACTCAAGCCAGAGAGGAACATGTTGTTTTTTCCGCCTTTGTGTTTCCCTGCCAGGTCTCAGGGGTAGTCGACTGTTGGTTCTTGGGCCTGCTAGGTCTCAGGGGTAGTCCACTGTTGGTTCTGGAGCCTGCTAGGTCTCAGGGGTAGTCCACTGTTGGTTCTTGAGCCTGCCAGGTCTCAGGGGTAGTCCACTGTTGGTTCTTCAACCTGCTAGGTCTCAGGGGTAGTCCACTGTTGGTTCTTCAAACCTGCTAGGTCTCAGGGGTAGTCCACTGTTGGTTCTGGAGCCTGCTAGGTCTCAGGGGTAGTCCACTGTTGGTTCTGGAGCCTGCTAGGTCTCAGGGGTAGTCCACTGACTGTTGGTTCTTCAACCTGCTAGGTCTCAGGGGTAGTCCACTGTTGGTTCTGGAGCCTGCTAGGTCTCAGGGGTAGTCCACTGTTGGTTCTTGAGCCTGCCAGGTCTCAGGGGTAGTCCACTGTTGGTTCTTCAACCTGCTAGGTCTCAGGGGTAGTCCACTGTTGGTTCTGGAGCCTGCTAGGTCTCAGGGGTAGTCCACTGTTGGTTCTGGAGCCTGCTAGGTCTCAGGGGTAGTCCACTGACTGTTGGTTCTTCAAACCTGCTAGGTCTCAGGGGTAGTCCACTGTTGGTTCTTGAGCCTGCTAGGTCTCAGGGGTAGTCCACTGTTGGTTCCTGAGCCTGCTAGGTCTCAGGGGTAGTCCACTGTTGGTTCTGGAGCCTGCTAGGTCTCAGGGGTAGTCCACTGTTGGTTCTTCAGCCTGCAGTGCAGCTGATTTTTACGTATGTGACCTGTCAAACATCTATCGACCTTAACTCCTCTTCTATTTTTTTTTGGGGGGGGGGTGTTAGTTACTCTATTGTAATACCTCTAATCTTTAATACTTATTTAACCTAACTGTGTTGCAATTTCCGTACAATGCTTACTAAATACAAAATATAGAAGCTGAAGATGCCAACTGAAGGTGTGTCATGTACAAACTGAGTTTTCATTTACCGCAAAGCAAAGACAATGGTGTTAACGACAGCAACAACAGCAAACGTACCAGCAACAGTAACTGTAACAGCAAGATAAGAAAAAGTAATAGTAGCAGCAGCAGCAGCAACCACAACAACAACAACAACAACAACAGCAACAACAACAACAACAACAACAACAAAAGACAGTAACAGCAACAGAAACAACAGAAATAACAAAAACAATAACAACAATAACAGCAGCAATAGAAACAACAACATCAACAACAACAACACCATAACCACCGCTACCACCACCACCACCACCAACAACAATAACAACAATAACGCAATATCTCACCTGACTGTCTAGCCCCACACAAAACAGCATGAGAAAAAAGATGATCGACCAGAACTGTGGGATGGGCAGCGTGGACAGGGCACTGGGGTAGGCGATGAACACAAGGCCGGGTCCTG